CAGAGAGAAGGTAGCCATATTCTTTGAACAACTGGCATGTTCCTTGTCATGTCGTCAGTCTCCCATGCATAGTTCAATGAGCACAATGAACACTCTAACCCAATAAATGTTGTGCATCGTCACTGTAGTCCTCCTTGGCATGACATAGTGGTACACCGACACCCTATGTTCCAAACATTTTGAAACCGAAAGCTGGTTAAGGCCATAAAATAGAAGATCCTACCAGCAAGAAAAGACAGCTAGCCGCCAATGGGTACACTGAACAATGACCCTGAATAGTCACAACCCTCAATCTTTGTAATCTGAATGGCAAAAAAACTTGGAATAGTAATTATTCTTAGTTGAGGCAACAGCACTAATAATTTATAATCTTCATGAACACGCAGTGGCCTACCTCCTCCTCAGTCACAACGCTAGTCTGCGGAAACTAAGGCCAAGTCCGGGGATTGTCCCTCGCTCGACAAGGGAAAACTTCTCCTTTCTTTCAACTGCCAAAGGCCGATATACTACTCTGGGAATGACAGAAAACTGCAAATTCCCTGGAAAGTGTGCCTACGCCCATGTCTGCTCTCTGTGCTATGGGACAGACCCGAGGTCGGCTTGAAGGGACCCAGCAGTCACTCCCCCTCCGAAAAGTCAAGCATCCTCGCCAGAGGACCCTAGGCAGGAAACTTGTGACTCTGCGGGTGAAACTTCGTAGGCATATACAAATAGGCCTGTTGGGATGGTCCATGTGGGAGAATTGTTCAACTTGACAGTAGTAGGCACAAGGCACCAGGCGAATATAACTATATCAGCAATATGCATAGGGAACAGGGTTACATATCCATGGTCAACGTTTCCCTCTGTGGCTGAGTAACTCCCCCCAGGGCTCCTATAAATTCACCGCACCCCTTCCCCAATCATCCCATATAAAGTTTCTTTATCCTCGCCTCTCAACTGTACAGCCTGGGAGGTGGGGCTTCTCTCAATCCCACACAATTTACCAAATTCCTGTTGCAGGGCATAGCCAATGGGTTTCGGATTGTGTTTAGGCATGGCTCACAGCTGAGACCAATGCATTGCAACCTAATGTAAGCTTACGACAACCAACATCTAATAAGTGATTATACCTCAGCTTCAGGCCATCCCTACCTGCCCAAGACAGGAGTGGAAGGCAATCCACTACCTAAATGATTTTCTCCTCCTTGGGCCTCCAGGTTCTCCAAGCCACGGCCAGGACCTCTCAAAGTTTATGCGCAGAGCTCGGCTTTACAGTCTCTCCAGCGAAGATGGAGGGACCATGCTCCACCCTAGGTATTGAGATAGGTTTTGTGTCTGGCGAGATCCGTCTACCCCATGAGGAACTCTCTCGGCTCTTTGCCACACTGCAGCAGTGGATATCTCAGTCAGACTCAACTTAGGCCAAGGACCTCGGGAAACGAGGAGCTTCTTTCACTTATCGGTCTACTAGCCCATCCAGCTACAATAATTCACCTTGGCAGGCCTTACTTGCGTGGCTTCATCGACTCCTCCACCTCAGAGCATTAAAGTAACTTGAATAGTTCAGCAAGAGCAGACCTGGCATGGTGGCACACGTTCGTTGAACATGGTATCTGCATTCTACCCCATGCAGATGAGCCACTAAGAGATGCTTCAGGCTTCTAGGGCTGCGGGGAATTACATTAGGACCTCTGGTTTTAAGTTGAAAGGCCCTAGGATCCTCCTTCTCCTCCTCTCGTGTGTGATGTACCTGTGGTCATGAAAGGCATCGCTAGAGTACTCACGTTTCCGCTTTGCCTCCAAAGGCTAGGTCCTCCAGGGGCGAGGTTAAGGTCGATTTAACGTCGGATACTTTCTGTGACGTGACAACCAAACATATTGAGTGATAGGGCACGCCCTATAAAGTCTGCGAAGACGCAACCCTTTCGGAAGATTGCTCTGTGAAGACTTCAGATCGCGCTAAGTTGAAGGGTTACCACAAGAAGTAGGTTGAGGCAAAATATATCTTGGGATGAGCTTTGTTCCTCTCTCCATTCTCCATGTTCTCCAAAGTCACTCAGAATGATGAAACCGATATTCTTGGAGCACTGAGTAGTGTTCCTCACACTCTAAAGGAGACAAGTAAGCTTGGCTTGCGACCCATTGGTCAATGGCCAACCTATGCAGCTACAATGAGAAACATTGTACTGGAAGGTGAGGATGATGACTGCACAATTTATCAGTGGCCAGAACTAAGAATTATCCTGGTGCAGTGAGTTTTTATTCCACCAAGCATGAAGAGTATGTATCTGCAGTTGCCGAATGCATCAAGTCCAGATTGTCATGGTCTGATGCGAGATAGAATCTTCATGCTCAGCACACATGGCTGGGGGAAAGCTTTGGAAGAGGATAATGACATGGCAGCCATCGATCGTCTCGTACAGAGATTCACCATTAAACTACAGGGTGCTGGTGCTGATACTGAAAAGGTAGTTTGAGAATTCACAGAAATGATCCCCTTATAGTACCAGTACATAGCCCTTTCAGTGTCGGATTATCATGCAGTTTGGTGGAGAATATTTAATGCTCCATGTTCTTCAGAATGGACTAATGCATTGTCATTAGCCAAGCTTCAGTTCTCCTTAATGGAAAACTATAGAGAAATCTTTCATTGCTTTCCAGTCCAAAATAACTGATCCTGGAAGTGTCCCATCTACCACCAAGTCTGAGACAACAGATCCAGAAGAGACTGAGAGTGACAGAGGCTGACTGACTGGGACAAACAACTACCATTAACAAGTCACTCAATTACCATCATCAACTCTCTTTAAATGTCATTGGGCGCTGGTCTCTTAGTGAAGTCCCTTTCTCAGTTCAACACTGATTCAATAATGGCAAGGAATTATACATATGTAAGAGATAATGTGCGCTTAGAGTTCTATACGTGATTTATGGGAACGAGGGGTGTGGTCGAGAGACTCATACAGCACGGCTGCGCCTCGTGCTGTATGGGTCTCGAAACCACAACCCGAGTTCCCATAAGTCATGTTTAGAACGATAGGAAGCACATTATGTGTTTTATTGTGACTTTGTAGCAGTCGTCGACCTCTAGCGAGCATAGCCTACTACCCATGCGCACATGCGCACTCGCTGGCTTCTCGAGCGAGTTCTCTGTTCTCCAGGCTACGGTAATCGAACAAGGTCGTGATGGTGGCTCTTTCTCCCTCAGAGAAACTCGTTTCATAAGTCGCTGGGCCGTTTGACCGGTCGGTGTGCCGTGGCGCGGTCTCGCTTGCCACCGGGAGCTGAATGAAGGGGTGTGGTCGCCTCAGCCATCCCGTGCCTCTACAGACTCTACAGAACAGTCATCCCTCGCCTCCAAAGCCTCTACAGAACCGTTTTTGTCTACACTATGGGTACGATGCTGATGCTAGTTCTTTTATTGAACGTTCAATATTAGTCATATTGAACGCGTGCTTCAATACGGGGAAAAAGAATATGCACGGCGCCTTTGATCCGCCCACACAAGTCACAATAAATGGAAATAAAGCTTGGTTGGCCACTTTGGCCACTCAACTATAAGCCGTTATTTTGAACTCCGTTTCTAGAATACCACGCCTACTGCGGGCATTTCAGTACATCCATAGCTCAAGGGATTGCAGAGTATTTACTGAGCACATAATATTGAGTAAATGAATATCATTATTTTTAATTGCACGCGGCATCATTCCCAGTTGCTCAGTTGGCCACGTGAAATGTAGTTTTCATTCAAATTCTTTGCTTTTCATGCAACTAGACCCGTGTAAAACAATGCGCACAAACTCAGGTATAGGAGCATTATTTCACGGTATTTACTACGCGTTGTTACACGCTATTACGCAAGCCATGGGCAGTTAGGCGTAAACAAGGGAGGTCGCACCTGCAAGTATTTACACTCTGGAGCGCTGTTCCGCACAAACACATGCGCGAACGAGCATTTGCCGAAAAACCTCCGCTAAATACTACGTGCGTATTGTGTACGCCTGCGATTGCAGGTGGAGCACTCCAGTGCGCGTTAATGCGTATTCAGATTTCTGTAAAGCATTACTGTAGAAAAACATTTACTTTTATCTGCACGATTAAGATTTGCTTTGGTCGCCACAATGTAATACGTGAAAGATTAAGTTTTGCATTGCAGGGGCATGAACATTTGACCTCGTTGACATTTGCAAGGCAGAAAGTGCTCTTATGATCAAGAGCATGGATTTATGTGCATCTTCTGTTTGCTTGTGTCAACAAGGACACACCCACGAAAAGAGCTCTCCTGTACTCGACATGTATGTGTTGTGGGGTTCTATCATGATTTCGTCCAAGGAGTGTAAAACCAGGCGTGGGTTGGGGGGAGGGGGTGGAGTTTTTTAAGTTCAAAGCACCTCTAAGGGAATTAATGGGAATTTTTTCCCAGGTAAATTTTGAATTTTGACTTTTTAATGAGGCATAGTGGTTAAATCTGGAGAGCCATTTGTTCCTGAATATTTGCACTAACATTTGTATCCCGCTCTGGGAAAAGCGCGCAAATAATAAATTTTCCACTTAGCGCGTGTATAGCGAACTCGATTGTTTCGGCAAATGTGCTTATGAAACAGGTGAAAACTATAACCTAGCATCTACCTTTTCGTGTTGGAGCGAAGTAAATCTGCTGCTCGTACCTCCTGCAGCGTTCATTCGTAGTTGTGAGCATTGCCTCCGTGCGTGTATTGCGCAATATCTTGAAATACACAGCGCGCATCCCCATGTAAATTGTGCGTGTGAAAGCTGTGACGGTTGCGAAATATGGTGCTTTTACACACTCAAGCGGCAAGTCACACCAATTTATGCAGACTTAGCATCCTTACATATTAATCTGTTAAATTTCGCACTGGCTTTCACTAACCATACATGCTTTGTTTTCTAAACACAAATACATAACCACAGAGAGGCCTGCTTGTATATAAATGATGGGTCATTGCCAAATCCTGCTTACATAACAAAGGTGTATTTTAACATGTTTAATACCATACCTGTCCTGTTTCATCAAATGCCATAACCACAACAGCGACTCCATACTTATGGATCATATTTGCCTTCTCAAGGAAGTCTTCCTCTCCTTCTTTTAAGCTTATGCTATTAACAATACACTTTCCTTGGGAGCACTTCAATCCAGCTAAAATGACATCGAAGTTGGAAGAATCAATGCAGAGGGGCACCTGCATGTGCAAAATATACACATAAACAGGGGTAATGAGTATAGCGAAAAGATTTCTTAGTAGTGAGACACCCGTCTCTAGCACCTAGAACCAAATGCCTGAGTCTGACCGAATTAAATTGTCAGCTACACGTACAAAGAACAGGACATGGAGGAATAAAACAAATTGTCAAACTAACACCATCAAGTGCAGGGAAGGCACTACTAAAGGCCTCCAAGGCTTTCTAAAGCACAAAGTTCTAATGGAAGAAGCACCGCAAAATCTTGTGAGGTATATACGATAGGACGGAAATTATGTGTTTTATTGTGACTATGTAGCAGTCGTTGACCTCCAGTGAGAGTGCGCACTCGCTAGCTTCTCGAGTGAGTTCTCTGTTCTCGAGGCTACCGCAATCGAACAAGGTCGTGATGGTGGCTGTTTCTCCCTCAGAGAAACTCGTTTCATACGTCGCTGGGCCGTTTGACCGGTCGGTGTGCCGCGGCCGCGGTCTCACGTGCCACAGAGAGCAATAGTGTAGAAGAGATAGCTGAATGAAGGGGTGTGGTCGCCTCAGCTATCCCTCGCCTCTACAGCATCTACAGCACAGTTTTTGTCTTCACTATGTGTACGATGCTGATGCTAGTTCAATAACTTTTTCATTGAACGTTCAATATTGGCCATACTGAACACGTACGACAATACTGGAAATAAAAGTATGTGCGGCACCTTTGATCCGCCCACCCAAGTCACAATAAATAAAGGTATAGCACACGCACTCATGAATATATTTTTTTTATGGTGGCCTAGTGAGCGAACGCCGCGTGCACGTACATCGTGAAGCTTGCGAGCTACCCTGGTACTTCAGGCGCCTGCATATACTCCCATGGCCCAGAGACTTCTCCCAATTTAAAGTAATGTGGAAGCTAAACGTAGGGTTGTTCTTTAATACTCCTCATTTACCTTGGCAACATCCGGTTCACAAGATATCAGGTTAACAAATGTTGTCATGGCTAATTTTCCATTTAGCATCCCCTCATCCATATTAATATCCAAAATCTGTGCACCATTTTCAACTTGCTCTTTAGCCACTGACAAAGCCTCCTGAGCAAATGAGTAGGATTTTGTTAGTTAAATAACTTTGAAGAAAAGACAATTAACACTCTTGCCTGAGACAAATTACATGAGCTACAACAACGAACTTTTTTGAACCTACAACACATCTTTCAGTTGTAAAACGAAGGGCAAGATGCAAATAAACACAAACTCAGACAAGGAGGTCACAAAAATGCTCTTAAAAATGAGGCTAGCTTCATCCCGAATGTCCCATATTTTACTGTATGATGTGTTCAGAGAGTGTAAGCTTACTCACAATGTGTTCGTAAATCTGCTTAATATATCTTATCCCTATCTTGTCTCCCTCCCTTCTATACGATCTGTATAATCCTCATTTGACTTTTTAACCACTTGTTTCTTTTGATTTTTAACAGCAAAGAACAACGTACATATACCAAGAACAACCCTTTTCAGGAAAAAAAAAGAGCTGCTTTAGGTAGGATTAGATCCCACGGAATTACATTCTACAAAAGTGCGCCACAAGCTCAGCTACCACAGATACTAAGAACGTAGAGGTATATTCACCACAACACAAGGGCAAATCTTAAACTGTGCTATGACAGAGCACACTCACTCAGAATTATGTACATAATACATACAAGTAAATAAAAAGAAAGACAAGGTAGTGATGGGATACATCAAGTATGGTTTACTAACAGATGTGAGCGTACTGACACCCCAGAATCCAGACCACAACACACAATTGTGCCTTGTGATGGGTACTTGGTCAAAATGTCACTTTTCTATGTTGTATATGATATTTTTGTGACCTCTATTTTAAAGATTATAGGTCCGACGTCATGGTGTTAGTTATAGTTGTACGATGTCAGCGCGTGGATTACGGAGTGGCTCGTGGCTCCGTTAAATAGAACACGAGGGCGCACGCCCTAGTGTTCTATTGAACGGAGCCACGAGCCACTCGTGCGTCACGTAATCCACGAACGTTACGACATCGTACAAATGGCTTGTATGATGCTTCCTTATATGGGGATTTCGCAACCCGACCGGCTTTACAATGAAGTCCTAGTCCACGCACACCCAAGCGAGAAAGCGCGCAAGAACGGCCCCGCCCTGCACTCCGAAAGCGCTAGCGAACGCGCGACATCTGGTGGCTCTTCGTTGTGGATGGATCAATCGTCTCCAGTTGTTGACCCAGTGTTGCTGAGTAGCGTTGACGTGACAAGACCCGTACTTCGTCGTTTAGAGCTGGGAATGAGTTTGTCGGGAGCGACGTGTTTGAAGACGAGATCCGAGATCCGAGATCCGATGACAGGGAAGTCGCGGAGACTCTCGCTTCCCTTACAGAAGAGGCCCCGGGAACATGATTCTATTCTGTGAAAGTGAAGAAACCGTGGAAGGCACTTCAGGCGTCGAGATTAGCAACCATGATTGGAACTGCATCTCACTGTGTTATTAATGTGAATCTGGTTGGACCTTCTATAAACACTGAAAGACAGAAGGAAGAGTTGGAGTATGAAGACAAGTCTCTGTGAATGTTCTATCTGCCATAGACTATGGTGAACTCTTTCACCCTTATCAGACTATGTTCATCCTGTATGTTCATCCTGTATGTTCTATCCTCAATAGAATATTGAACGCATTCCAGCTTTGATCCACCCACGCAAGTATCATACAAGCATTGTTGTGACCTGTATTCTCAAGCTATAAAACCAGCTGAAACACATTGTAGTATTAAATGTTTACTGCAAATGTTAGAAAATTTAAGTGAGGAAGTTATTTAACAAAAGTGTCCGAGGCTAGTTGATTGCGTAAAATGTATAACCCTCATGGCAGTGCATAAGCCACTCTACATTCCAATGTGACTAAAAAGCAGAAAGGCTCCCTCCCGTCTCCTTGCTAACAATTACAGGCTTCCCAGCAAGCTCAGTGGCACTAAATCCACTCCCTGTTAAAGTTGCAAGCCTCTTGACTTGTTCGCCCTGCCTTGCCTTTCTACCTCGTTACCAAGTTGTTGAGACATGCAAGAAGAATCGTCTCAGTAACTCTGCAGTATACACATTTTTCTCGTTGGTGGGGCACTCAGTTACATAATGCTTTGAAATCGCGCGGTGGTTGGCAAAGCCCAAATAAAGCGTATGGTAGCAGGTGCTATCAAGCTAGCTACGTATCAGTACGTATGGTAGTACTTAGTATATAACGATGACGCAGGTTATCCAGCATTATGCCAATACATTTGACATTTCACTTTCAGTTTCAATCAGATCCAACGTCTAAACATCAGTCTGATCAGTGTGGTAAAAGAGCATGTACATAAGAAATGGCTCAAAACGAATAATGGGTAATCAAACAAGACAGTTTTCAAAATTCTTGTGGATGTTGCTGTCGTCGTTGTTGTTAAAACACTTTGTGCACTGTGCAGTATTGCGGAAATTTCTCTGCATACACGGAATTACGGATGCACGGAATATTGCCACGCCCATCCGCGTAATACGTAATTCCGCGCCATTTAAGTGGTGTGCGGCGCCCACAATGTTAAAGGTGTAGTCATTCAGTTTCAACAAGCGCATCTCAAAAACCGGGTAAGATATGGAGAGAAAACTCTAGACAAAGATTGGAACCCATGACAGGTCATGCACAAGCATTTGAATTTGTTTGTAAACAATTTTGTTTACATGTAAACAACAAACACAACAAAAAGTAGCAAATAGGGCATAAAATAAAGTTTGTTCGCATTCACCTTGTCGCCCGAAGTGAGCAGTGAAAATTGTTTATGCAAGTGCATGTCATACTTAAAATAGTCCGCATATTTGTCGTGTATGAAAGCATGCTTAGGTTCTAGCAACAGTGGTGCAGGGACAGCCTTCAGAGCGCATCAGCGTGAGTTGGCTTCGTCAAAGCAAAGCCTATAGGTTCGTAAAACATACCAGTAAGTAGTAGCTCAGTAGCTGTTGTAGTATCCGCTTGACGCGTGCCGTCCGTCAGAGTTAGTAGGCGTATATTCGGGCGCCTGTATATACCGATAATTGCATACTTCGTGGCGTGTGGACATACAGCTAACTTTGCAAGCGTGCGTCGGTCGCTAACGTAGGCTGCATCATTAGAACCTACACGCTCCCGGAAACGCATTGGATCTTGAAACTCCGGGTAGTATTGGTTGATTCCCTACCGGCAAGGTGAACGAGAACGGACTTTAGTCAATGTGAACACCTACATTGAAAACATTTTGTACACATCCAACCAAAATGTAAACATTACAAGTTCCGTTCTACAGAATACAGTGCCCACCAAACGTATGTTCATCAGAATACTGCGTACATATCATAGAACACATAAAGAAACACACCATATATACCTCATAATTTCCGGATTTTATTAGCCTTAGGAACGTTCTTGACCCAGCAACATTGCAACGTTCACCAATGTTTACAAAGTTTGTATGCTGGTTAATGATCATCTGTTCCATTCCTAAAAGGACATGAAATCAAAGTTGTGGATTAAAAACTAAGCACCAATAGTTGAACCTGAGAGCAGGAGAGCATCTGGATTAACACAGGTTCGGCATATCCTTGGTTGAATACCTCTGACAGCATCTGCAATTGCTCTGCAAAAACACTGCTACGGTAAAGACTTAAAAAGATCACCATGTATAATTATACCACAGTAGGTCCCATTGACGACACACAGAAAATTGGGCGGAGCTAGAACAAAATACACAAAAACGACAACCAATTAATATTTGACAAAATTATGTGGAGGTCAATGTTTCAGATAGGTTTTCAATAGCATGCCCGAAATGCTTGTGATTTTTCTAACCTTGTTTTACAAAGTTATTAGCATATCACTAGAACGAATGCCACGAATGCTTTTTTTCGCAAGCTAGTGCGAGCAGATCAATATTACGCATACTTAGAACATTGAACTATTATTGTATGTGCAGTGCCCATGCAGTGCCCGTCACACAAAAATAATATATACAGAAAATATCCCGCACTGAAACAACTAGGTGGGCTCGCTTAGCTCGCCAAATATTTCTGAATTCTCTATAAGTGAGAAAACCAGAGCGCGACTTCACAGGGAGCAAACAGTGTGTTGTTATGCGCATTGGCTTTCTCCACATCTCACAGTACACGGAGACGTATTAAATAAAATCAAGCCAATGTAGCTTAGATCCTGCTGGCATAACTTGTTGGCAGTCTTGTGCAAAGTGGCAGAACAAGTGGTAACAGACCACTGTAACTCTCGCTGCACATCGACACTGAAGCTGATACAGACACCAAACATTACATAACCCCATGGAAACTTTAGCAGCGTCTCCAGCAGAACCCAGAGATTCTAATATTTCAGTGCTAGAGTTATTGGAATTTTTATCAAAGTGCTGTGTACTCAGGGATAGTATGTACCACTGACAACACCCTACAACTTTCTGGGGATATTTACATCTACAGTAGGGTATGAATATCAGAAGACAGAGATATAGGTTAACCCACGGGTTTGGAATGTGTATGGGGAGTATATCCGAGGTGTTTATTAGTACCGCACGAGGGCGGAACAGATAAGCCGAGGGGTCCGACATGGGCTGTCATGACATACGAGATTTCTAAAAAGCCGGTGATTTCTAACTGATTTCTTGATTACTTACCGATTTACAGATTTCAAGGCGAATTCAACCAATATTGTCAGATTTCCGTGACTTCAATCAAGAGATTTCCTGATTTCCACATGATATCCAGTGATTTCTAAACTGATTTATATTGATTTCTCGGTATCTCTAAAACTGTACACTCCCTCAAGAGGAGTTCCCTTACTGGCATGAACAGTTGTCATGCGCCACAGAACACTGAGGCCATTAGCTAATACTGTCACTGGCGCACATCAGAAATCTAGGTTATAGCCGGTTACAGAAACAGCCAGCAAGAAATATTTTCATTTCTGTGCCTGTAATGTACAATTGTTAATGGTGTGGTCATTAATGTTCTCAGATATATACTCTTCTCAAGCAATCACACTACATAGGTTGAAGTTGAGGTCGGTACGTAGGAGTCCCAAGGGAATTTCTACAGTTTCTTTTGCCCTCCTATTTCTCATGCCTCTCCGGCTGCTATCCTGTCATTTCCACCTGAACAAACTTATTCCTAGGCCAATCGATGTGGGGCAGCCAGACATTTGCCTGAAGACTGTCGATTCAAAGACGACGTGGGCCACCAATGTGCGACTATGTCGTAATCCGAGATGACGACAGCAGCGTGATACACGTAACATACCATTACTTGCTTATGTTTGCTGGAAGGAACAGTCAGAGGAAGAATCGGAGTCATATCGTAGCGCCCACATATTCATAAGGTCACGTTGCAGGTGAATGGCCGCCCCCTGACAACGGAAGTAGACACCGGGGCAGTGGTGTCTCTGCAAGATACCGAAAACAAGGTGGTCCTGTCAAAACCAGAGATAAAACTACACACTTACACAGCCCAACCCATCTCAGTGATGGGGAAAACACTGGTGTCAGTGGAACACTTGGACTACAAAGGTCAGCAGGTGGTGAGTGACAAGTCTGCCACACTTCTGGGGCATTAGTGGCTGGAGCAAATCAAGCTGGACTCGGCCAGTATCAAGGCTGTGCACAAGCTAGGGGAGATTCTCCAGAATTATGCAGAGGTATTCAAAGACACTTCCGGAACCATGACCACCCACTAGGCCTGAGAGCGCGCCGCCAGGCAAATGCGCGTGCCACCGAGTGCACGTCATCGTCTGGATGCCGCGCAGCGTCTTGGGACGGGCCAAGCTGACTTTCGACTAAGAGCACACCTACCAACCTGCAGATAAAGCTTTGCTAGAGAAATGTGCTTGATTTGGAGCTTGAAAAATGCTGTGTCAATTCAATGTATGGGCACGATGCATCTCACAGGTTAGCACAAAAAAGATGGATTTGGCGAATGAATTGTGAGATAGGCAGTATTTTTGCTTGATCATCAAGGATGGTTGGTTGGTAGGTATGTACTGTAAGAGCATGGCGAATGCAGGGAATATTTGGTGAGCGAGAGCGAACACTCCACGAGCCATCCTAGGTTAATAGTACCTCTCCATTTAGCATCAGCAATTGCTGCTGAAATAGCACGTCTATCAAGCAACTCTGGCACGCCTATTACTGCAATAATTTGGCGCACTTAGTGTACAGAGCCATTCTGGCACGCTAAAACTACGGAGCCATTCTGGAACGCTAATCTACTGAGCCATTCTGGAACGCTAATCTACTGAGCCATTCTGGCACGCTAATATACTGTAATCTATAAGCCATTCTGGCACGCTAATGTACTCCAATCTACGGAGCCATTCTGGCACGCTAATGTACAGTAGTATTGCACACTGATGTACTGTAGTCTATGAGCCATTCTCGCATGCTAATCCACAGTAGTCTACAGAGCCATTCTGGTAGGCTAATGTACTGCAATCTACTGGCACGCTAATGTACTCTAATCTAATAACATTAGCGTGCCAAAATGGCTCCGTAGACTACTGTACATTAGCGTGCCTGAATGGCTCCATAGATTGGCGTGCCAAAATGGCTCACAATATAATACTGTACATTAGCGAGCCAGAATGGCTCCGTAAACTACAGTACACTAGCGTGCCAGAATGGCTCCGTAGATTGCAGTACATTAGCGTGTCAGAATGGCTCCGTAGACTACGGTACATTAGAGTACCAGAGAGGCTCCGTAGACTACAGTACACTAGTGTGCCAGAATGGCTCCATAGATTACAGTACACAAGAGTGCTAGAATGGCTCCGTAGATTGCAGTTCATTAGCGTGCCAGAATGGCACCGTAGATTGAAGTTCATTAGCGTGCCAGAATGGCTCCGTAGACTACGGTACATTAGCGTGCCAGAATGGCTCCGTAGACTAGCGTGCCAGAATGGCTCCGTAGATTGCAGTCCATTACTAGCATGCCAAAATGGCTCCTAGATTGAAGTACATTAGTATGCCAGAATGGCTCCGTAGACATTATCATGCCAAAATGGCTCATACTTCAACATTAGCATGCCAGAATGGCTCTGTAGACTAAAATATAATATTATTAGCGTACCACAATGGCTTGAGCGTGCCAAAATGGCTCATACACATTATTGTGCCAGAGTGACTCAGTAACTACCTTGGTGTGCCCACGGTACACTGCATTACTTTCTAGATACACTGCATGTGCTCGGCCGTCTGGCACGCTACAGACTCTCCAACAGCAAACAACACCTATTTTCCGACGTCCGCACTGCATTCCCTTCGCTATCAAGAGGCAGATTAGGGAGGGGCTAGACAGTAGGCATTGGCGAATTATGCTTGTTATTATGCTATGCTTATTTGTGCTGGTAGGAAGTGCTGTACTATGCTTGCACTGGCTCACGGACACGTGACATCTGAGTATGAGCACAAGTCACAAGAAAAATTGTCACCGCTGAGTCAGCAGAAAATTCCGGAGAAGGCGATGAGACCGAGCCTGCTCTCCTCGATTTCTGAGTCCAGCAAATCATTGCTGGATGTTCTTAAACCAGCTGAAAAGGCTGATTTATCGACAAAGAGGAAGAATGAGAAGCCTTGAGGCTCCGGTGAGAGAAAGAGAAAGAGCGCTGTTTCTAACCCGACAGACCCCAGGAACGTTACCCCAAGAGATGGTGTAAAGGGGTTTCCTAATGAATACCTACAAGTAGAGTAAATGCTAGTAATATAGGAAGGTTGGTATTATGAGACACTAGTGAATTTCCTCCTAATACTTATGCTGCAGAAAGTATAACCAAGGCTCACTTAAAACCAGAGCCACACCCCAGCTAGCGCTCTGCAATACCGGTTCAAAGGTCAGGGGCGGATGCAGAAAATAGCAAAGGGTAGTTCGAGTCGGCGCGCTTGTAAGTCACGCCCCTACCTCAGCGCGCGCACACGCGCTCGCAGTCACGAAGTCCAGCGTCTTTTGCCATCACCATGGAGGCATATACCATTAAGCATTGACGCATCCATGCATAGTAAGGGAACACGATACATAAACTGCGCGCTCGTGCAGCAAATGGAGCATGTTGGACAAAAAAGTATAAATCTCAGAAGTCAGTGAACATGAAAGGTAACAGCATTCGTCTTGAGTGTCGGTTAGCAAACATAGTGACTACCAAATCTAAATCAATATGTTTTGTCCTTTGCCGGTGAATTTTCATAAGCACTAATGCAGACATTCTCTCCTCTGGCATTGTTGACCGTAAGTAAGTTTTTAGGAGTTTTAGTTGGCTGTTGGAACATTCTCACAAACCGTAACTGGGAGTGTGCAAGCTATTTGTAAGAGTAAGTTAATATTTGCAAACATATCAATGTCACATTTCAATAGAGCTTGTTGAAGGCAGTCATGCCTATCATCGGCTCAGTGGTGAATAACAGAGGTGAAGGGAGGTCAGCAAGGTACAACTGGCGCACTTCTTCCACTGAGGTAAGTTCAGTGTTAACGAACAATGAGGGTACTAAGCTGAAGAGTTTTACAATCTGTTGCCTAACTCCTCCAAACCGGTCCTGTAGCTGAGTTAGCATATGATCCAAGAAAGGCAGCAAAACGTTTCTTCGATAATACGTTT